AGAAAAACTATTTAAAAAAATTAATATGATATTTATATTTTCTATTATTATTTAGAATGCAACTAAGATACCACTTATGGGTTTACATCCAGATCTATTGAATCCATCGGAATCACAAAAATTAGATGAAATACAATCAGAAGCTGATCAATCAACAGAAAGTGAACCTATTCCTGATCAGGACATATTAGAATCTATAGAAGGAATTTATTTTAATATAGATCGTAATTTTGATCCTTGTAGACATGAATTAGAAAAACTACCAAAGGTATTGCAATCTAAAGATATTGAAAAATGTTACAAAAAACTGAAACAACAACATCAGGTTGTCTCAAAAAAAGTTTTACAACTTATTTTGCAAAAGCAAAGTGCTTGTAACAAAGAATTTGCAAAAATTTTATTAATACAAGAACAGTTACAAGATGTATTAGAAATCTGTAGAATGGGAAGAGCAGATTTAAAATTAGCTGAAAGACAATTTACTACAGCTAGTTTAGGAATTTTAGCAAATTATCAAAAACGACAGATTGTAGAAGAATTATTAAATAATTTAAATACCATAAAAACATTGGTAAATATTTTTTATTTTAATTTATATTTATTTCATAATATATTAAAATAATAATAAATTAATTATTGTGATTCTTTTTAGCAACGTACAGGAGATAGATTACAAGAGTTACTAAATGAAAAGAATTATCCTAGAGCAATTTCATTACTTTTAGAATGTCAAAGTGCAGCACAAACATATAAACATTTCCATTGCATTGCTGCTTTAAATGGAAAATTGCAAGATATTTTAGAACAAGCAGAAGAAGCATTGGATATTACATTGTCAAAGATGTGTACACAATTTGATGTAACAATATATACATCCATCCAAGAAGCTTATACTTTATTAGGAAAAACTCAATCTGCAATGGATCAATTGCATATGCATTTCACTGCTGCAATTCACAATACTGCTTTTGCAGTTGTTCATTCATATGCAGGTGGAGATACAAAAAAACAATATAAACAACTTTGTCAATCAGTACCTCGTGAAAGTTGTATTATTTGTTTAACAGAATTATGTAAATCACTCTGGACAATATTAAGTTCTTACTACTTGATAGTAAATTGGCACAATACACAAAAAAATAAAATTGAACATAAAACTGATATAAAAAATCTAGAAGAAACTTTCAGCAAACAGTATGTAAAACATAAATTAGAAAACAGTATGATTCGAGTATGGCACGACGTCGAAATGAAAATATCGATATTTTTGATGAATGCTGATTTGACTTATATTAAATTTGAACAGTTTGTTCAAGTTTTAGGAATAGTTAACAGGTAAATGTTTTATGTTTCTATATAAATTTAATTAATTTGTTATTATATTAATGAAAAATAATTACAGATTAATGGAAATTGGAGAAGAATTATGTGGCTTCAAATCAGAAAATTTGCAAGAATCTATAAGAAAACAATCACTATCATATTTTTCTCATTATCATGCATTAAGATTGGATGAACTTAGAATATTTTTAGAAAATGATGGTTGGGAACTGTGTCCTGTCAAATCAAATTTTGTAGCAACACAACTGCAAGAATTTAAAAGTTTAAAACCATCTTTAACTAGTTGTAAAGTATGGAATAATTTTGATAATTCGAATGTTGCTGAAAATGATAATACTATAAGTACAGAATGGATTCAAAAATATTTAGAAGGAGGTGCATCTCCATTTTCTATAGGTTTAGATGATGTAATGGATGAAGATATTTTAATAAGTAACGAAGTATGATATTCAGAATTAATTATTTTTTTTATAATAACATATATATAATAATTAATATATATAAAATAATTGTATTATATAGGATAATCCTCCAGCATATTTTTCTGATGAATCGGATGATGATATTCCAGATGAATTGAAACATGAATATGTTGATGATTCAGATAATATCAAAACAAATAAAAAAAAGTGTAAACTAAAACAATCGGGACCTATGGTTACAAATACAACACTAAGTATATTGCGAATTTGTGGAAAATATTTACAAATGTCTAGATTATTACGATCAATTGCAGTCACTGTTATACAGAGTATGATACAGTTCTACGAATTATGTTTTTATACTGTACATTTATTTTTTACTTCAGACTTAGTAAGTTTTAGTAAATTATTTTATCAAGAAATTAATTATTTTCTATCAAGAAATTAATTTACTAATAAATAATATTTCTTCTTTCAGCAAATAAATAGTGATTCTTTGTATAGTCCAAAATTAAAGTTATCTTTAGCAAGAATTAAAGAAAATTTAATTATTTGCGAAAATGATACGGAAGATAATATTAAATTAAATTCTGATAAAGTGCGTCAGCCACAACTATCTTCCATTGTAAATTTATCACAACCAGAAAAACTTCATGGTTTGACGGAACGTATTGTAGGAGTGGAATCTTTAATATTTTTAGGCCAACAATATGAAAGTTTGAAAGCATATTTAGAACATCTTATTGGTGCTAGTCCACAACGCGGTTTTCTTCATCAATTTTATATGCAAACAATAGCATCAACTATAGATCTAAGGAAACCAGTATATATGGCTGTAGCATCCCAAACATTTGATGTTGCAAATATTTTAAATTTAATGAACAAAGTTAATTGGGAAGTGACTGATGTCATGTCCCAACATAGTAGATATATTGATGCATTACTTCAGGTATTTATTGTAACTAATAAATAAATATTTTACTTGAAAAGTGCTTATTGAAAGTTATCTTCTTATATTTATTTTTATTATATATTATTATATTTTTTTTATCTTTTATCTTTAATTTTTTTTTTTTTTAGGAAATATCTATTTTAAATGAAAGATTAAAAAACATTGGGAGTTGTCTTCCTTTAGCAGATGATGTATATAATTCTATTTGGGAAAATGTAGCACATTTAATAACTCATACATTAGTAGAGGGGTATGTTACTTTATTATTTAGATTCTATTTATTCTTTTTTTTAATTTATGTTTTACCACAGATTTTCTAATGCTAAAAAATGTTCAAATGGTGGTAGAGCATTAATGCAACTCGATTTTACGCAATTAAAATCGAAATTTGAGATAACGACTTCTTTAAGACCAATGCCTCATAGAGAATATGTTGAATTATATATTAAAGCCTATTATCTTCCAGAAAATAGTTTGGAGGAATGGATAAGAGATCACAAAGTATTTAAAATTATATTTACATAACATTTATGTAATGATTATATTTTTATTTATTATTAATATTTTACAGGAATATTCTGTTAAACACTTAATTGGTTTAGTTTCTTCAGCTTGTCAAAACAATAAAAAAACTCGACAGCGTTTAACTGCATTCATAGAAGAACAACGTCCTAGTAGATAGCATATCTATTATAATACGTCTCAAGATTATATCGAAATAGAAATTGCATAAAGAATAAGTTTTTAAAAAAAATTAAAAAAAGAAAAAATATATTGTCTTCATGTGTATGTGTGTGTGTGTATGTGTGGTGTGCGCGCGCGCGTGCGTGCATGCATGCGCGTGTATTATTATATATATATATATATATATATATATATATATATATGGAAATTTCTATTTATCACTAAAATAAGCAAACTCACTTGATAACACTTTAATTTTTATGACTCTCTTATTTTTATATTTTATTTTCGTTTATTTAGTGTATATTAGATTCATAGTTTTATTTATATAAAAACGTGTTGTCATCAAAGAAATATGTGATAAAGTATGGAATTTTTCATTCTAGTAATAATTTGTAATAGATGTTAATAAAATATAAATGATATATGTTAAAAGAATCTCGTATTAAAGTTTATAATTTTAATTGAATTTATAAAATATTATTAATAATTATAGATTTGTCATACTATACTTTTAAAATATTAAAAAAATTCATATTATATATCTAGATTTATTGTAATAACGAAATTATGAAGAAAATTATCTGCACTTTTAATCTCAAAAAAAATTTAAATGTTACTGAATCTGTTAATAAAAAGGATTATATTTCAAACAAATCTGTTTTTATTTTAACCATCATAAAAAAATAAAGTGTAAATAATTTGATTTCATATATATTTTATTTTCATAGCACTTTTTATATTAGAAATGTAATAAAATATTTAATATATATTTATATATAATATATATTTAATATATTTAAAATATTTAAATATATATTTTTCATATAAAAATTATAATTTTTATAAATTTATATTTTAATATCTTTGGGAGTGGAAAATTTATAGAACAAATATGCAATCCATAGTTAATAATAACTAATAAATATTTGCATGATTACTTTTTGAAATTATAAATATTTTATTTAATAATAAATATGATAATAAATTTATATTTTAAAAAATTTTTTCAAAATAAATACTGTTGTAATTTAAAGTATCTTTATTTTACAAATAATAATAATAATAATAATAATAATAATAATAATAATAATAATAATATACAAATACATATTTTTTCTGGATTTATCAGTTTCTAATTTTGTAAAAATTATTATTATTTATCTATATAATATACACTATAGTATTACATTTATCATATATTTATAATTTTTATTTGTACTAAGAACCAAAAAATTCTACTGCACCTCTAGTTATTCCTTTTAAGAATATTTTTTAATGTTCAATGTTATCTCGTGAAATATGTTATTTTATTAATTAACATATTTAAATAATTAAAAAATTTATATATAAAAGAATTTATTAATGTATGAATATATCAATTTCATATCTTTTTAAAAAATAGAAATCAAAGAATTTTTTTTTTGCATTGCAATATGATATGATATGAACATATGATATGAACATATATAACTTTTCTTTTTTGATTTGTATAACTGGTGCATTGAGAATTCTCTGGCTAATAGTACAGGTCAACATTTCTTAATTTTTAAATTTTATGAATCATATTTATTAAATAAAATCTATTATTAATAAAAAACAACTGTTTTTTCTAAACTTATATTTTTTCAGTTTTTATTTAAAAAACTAAATTATGTGTATAATGTAATTTTCATATTTTTTATTAATTTTTATAAAATAAAGAATATGATCCATGGAGCATAAATGTTAAGAAATGCTGACAGTTTTATTGATGTAATCAATTTCTTCCTTACTCCAAAGCGTTTTATATCGAGCCCTGCGTTCTGAATGGCCCCTGTTAAAACAAATTGTTGGAAAATGTAGATGATACACATTCGTGTGAAATAATTGAAATATATTAAATGCTTATTTTGACAACAAGTCTTATTTGACAATGTTATTTATTAATAATGTATTACAAAACATTTGCTGTAACTAATAAAATAGATATATGTCTTCTGTTCTTTCTTTTTTCTTTCATTTTTAAATATAAAATCAGTATCTGGACTATGCATATTTTTTTATTTCATAATAAATAAAAATTCTTCTGAATAAAAATAAAGAAATATATTACTATGGATAGGTAAAATTCGATTCATTATTAAAAAATTATAAAAGATATTTACTTCAATATTATCTACCTGTAGGAATTATTTCATTTCAAGTTTTGACCTATTTAATTAAATATATATATTTTAAAATTAATAAAATTTTAATGTTTAATTTCAATTTAAGTATAAGTATAATTCATTCAAATAAAATTTATTGCCAGAATGTACTTTCTTCGTAATATTAAAATACGCGTGTTTTTTGAAGAATAATTAACTTTCTAATAATATTACATCAGTTACAACTGTTGTTTTATCTGCAATTACAAATAAGAGGAAAATATGACATTATAAATTTTTTTTTTATGATAAAATTAATAAGTATAAATATAAGTATAGAACACTACTCAATAATACGCTTACACTTTGACTGAAAGAACAGTCTATTACTTTCTTTCCAAAATTTTTGTATAATTTTTAAATATAAGTTAATTTATTCTGGACACAATTCTCGTCAAAATAAAATACTTAACATTAATGATATAGATGTCGAGAAAGAGAATTTGACAAACTTATATTTGTATTAATTATTACTGGTAAAGTAATACAATTTGTTAAAATCCTAATATCTTAATATAATCCTGGAATGTAGATAAAATGTTGATATGAGAACGATAGAATAATATGTACTTTTGTTATTTTACTTTTAAATGCTATGTAAATATGAAGCTTGTACAAAAGAAAAAGTCGAATAACGATGAATTTTTTTTTGTTCAGTTAACAGCAAATATCGATAAATATGTTTATTATTCTTATTCTACACCTTATCATCGAAAGAAATGAAATAAGACGCAGGTAAAAACATTGTCTAATTCTTTTCTCTAATCTAATTCTAATTTTGCGTAATTAGATCGCTTAAATGTAAAAAATTGGCAGATTTAATGCTGTTACATTATCAGTAACATTGTTCTTATTTCTTTTCTTTTTTTCTGATTTATGGCTTTTGAGCTTGTGTTACTAATTCAATGGCTTGCCATTTGTGCATACAGAACAACCTCATTTGTATATATATATATGTTTGTACATTGAATGCGTTTTCATTATCAAAATCAAGCACAAAAAAAAATTTACAATATCATCTGAAAT